CCTCTGCGTCTCTGGTTCGCGTCGCATCCAAGCAAGGCTCTGGACGCGCCAAATGAGCCCCGGCCGTTTACTGACTCTCGTCGGCCGCTGTTCTGGCCGTGCCTATACTAGGCTGCGTCCGCTCCCCTCCTTCACGGTAGCCGAGACTCGACCTGCCGCCATCACAACATAATTACAGAATTCGACTGCATCGGTCCGGGACCCACCTACCCCAAACCAACGTCGCGCTCCACCGCTCAGGCATGCGCCATAGTCGTTGACTGCTGCTTCCTTCACTTGCTCTTCTCTGCGCCTCTGCGCCCTGCAACACTTTGACCCTAACCTCGATTTTCCTTGCCAGTCGATCCGCCGCACTCGCCCCGCCGCTGCACCAATCACGCTGGCTCAAGCAACACCCGGCCATTTCCTTTTTCATCCCTGTACACTAGTCTCGCCATACTCGACCTCTATCGATCACGCCCGATCCTCAATACCATTGCCACTAGTCGCCTAATCCTGCAGGCTTATCCAACCTTTTTGACCACCACGTCTCTCCACACTCGGTCGCTACACTACATTTACTTACGCGGTCGCGCCCACGCCTTCCTACATGAGCGACTTGAAAGACCGTTTGGCGCGATTGGGTCTGTCCCAGTACCACCAAGTGTTCGTGGCCGAAGGCTTTGACTCCTGGGAGACAGTGCTCGACATTACAGAATCCGACCTGTACGTTTACCCTCCGCCTGCTTCCTCCCTCAACAGACCCTTGCTTACAACGGCGCAGGAGCTCCCTCAACGTAAAACTTGGTCATCGACGGGTATGTATACACATTGTTCGTATTGCTCTGTCATGTTTAGTGTCGTTAATCCTTTTTTTTAATAAAGAAACTACAACGGGCCATTGCCGAATCGCGCGGACAGTCATCAGAGAAGCCACTTCCTATTAATCTTCCCAGAGCGGGAAGCACCGCAGGCTCGTATCGAAGTGACGATTCAGGACCTGAAAGCAAAAGCAAACAACCGGAGTCAAGCAATCCTTCTTCTGGTGTAACAGGTGCCAAGCGGAAATACCGACGACATCCAAAGGTTTGTTTGAAACTTCTACCATGTAAACCACTTATGCACTCTCCTAACTTTATACAGCCCGATGAACATGCTCCAGAACGCCCACCATCTGCTTATGTCATTTTCTCGAATCGTGAGTGTCACCTCAACACACTGCGACCATGGCTAACCCAATTACAGAGGTGAGGGAGTCCCTAAAGGGACAAGATCTATCCTTCACAGAGATTGCCAAGGTGGTTGGCGAGAAATGGCAAGTTCTGCCTGCGGAAGAGCGCGAAGGCTGCGAACGACAAGCCAATGGCGCCAAGGAAAAGTACTATGCGGAATTGGCCGAATACAAGAAAACACCGCAGTATGAAGCCTACCAGAAGTATCTTGAAGATTTCAAAGCGAAGCACTCAGTTCCAACAAAAGGTACATCATTTGCGCTAAATATCCGAGACGATGGAGTATTAACATATGCAGAAGGCAAGCGTTCAAAACTGGATACAGAGACAAGCACTTCAACCCGGGCGGGTAGCAATGAACAAAATGAGCAAGCAGCAAACAGAAGATCAAGTTTCACACAGCCAGATAGCAATACGCTTGCGCAACAAAAGTCGGATCCTAATCAACCCCCTGGCCCTTCGCGTCTTCCTGCAGGTCCTACCTATGCCTCCAAACCCACATCGCCGACCAATCGCTCGCTTTCTGGTTTCAATTCTCCCCGATCAGGGGAGCAGTTCTCGCCAATTTCCGCGTCTCCACGTTCCGCAGTCATAGCAAGAGACGGCATTTTTGAGCCAGCTGCGACCAGTTCCGTACGGGATACTAGGATTCCATACGACTCGAATTCATACCAACAGTCTGCATTCAACCAGGACAACAACCACCAATCTTCATCAACGCCACCACCACCCTCATACACATACCCATCTCATTATCAAGGGCCAGCAGAATTTCCCTCTCGCCGAGGACCGCGAGACACCACTCGTCTTCCACGTCTCAGTCACGAGGACACGACTTTGTCCTCGGAAAGCAGCCACAGTGGCCAAGGGGTGCACACACCAAGCTATCCTGAACAAGCCTTACCTGCCGACCCTAGCAAAACGATGCGTATGCTTCCCCAGCCAATCCCAAGCATAGGACCTTCACCTTCGCCACTAGACCGGCCCATGACACATATGGCGGCGTCGCATTACCCTCACCACTCGCATGACTACCGCACACAGGGTCCACTAGCGGTCCTAGTAAGAGCAGGAGAGTTGGCGGCGAGGGTAGCGGATGAGGATGCGGCGGTCAACGCGGGATCGCCTTGATTGTTAATTTGACGACCACGCCACGGTACACACGACACACAATTATGGGTTACTTAGTGCCTCAACCAGTAGGCACTGCATGACCTGCTGGACTAAGATTTGCAACGGCTCGCGTAGTTGGTCAAGTTGGGAATTGTTTAGGCTCGTGGCACACGGACCAAGCAACCATTAGCGGATACGCTTTACGTTTTCATACTTATGTTATTTGATATTACAAGAAGATACCCCTGACGCAATAAGTTTGCTTTCTGGACACTCAGTAAGCATATGGGGAAAAGGAAGATTTATCTCGCGTGTAAAGGGTAAGATTTTGGACGGATGGGCCGGTTTAGAAGAGGAGAGGATGGGCACATGTGGAGGGACGTCGCCTCAAGGCAGTCATTTTGGACATGCTAGCGCCCCAAGGAGTTTTGGATTTGACGAAGTATACCACGACGGAAAAGTGACCCGCGGCGCAGCTAGTTCTGTATCAAGTTGGCGGATCGCGCGGAGTTTGTACATATGTACACAGATATGAAATGTACATGTACATACATACATACATACATAGATGGTCTTGCCCGAATCATTGGCACAACGTAACGGGTTGGCTGAGAGAGCCATGTATGTAGGTGTAATAAGCCGTGCTTGGAAAACAAGGTCTTTGGTAAGTAAGCGTGCCACATGGCGTGACAAATGAAGCCTGGCAATAGATTGGCTTACGCACTTGGCTAGCTTGCCACTGGGGGACCCGGCCCAGATGGAGCGGATCTTGATGGATAGTTTAGCCTGTGGTGCCAGCATGGAGACTGCATTTGCGCATGTTTCAGTCACGAGAATCGCATGGCAGATTGGGTGGATTTCACATGTTTGCTAGGTCAGCCAGCATGGGAGATTTGACATGCCGATCGTGGATCGATTACCAGGATGCCGTCTGTGCGTCACGTGAAGTCGCGGGTCCAAAGGCAGTCGGGAACCAGTATCATTAGTCGGTACCCTTTCAATGTCGAGCACATGTGGTCGCAACGATCGACAAGGCGCCATCGAGTCGGTCGCTAGATGATGTTCCCCTCCACCCCTTCCCACTCTCCCCACTCACGCACACACACCAGAAGCTTCGGCACAGCAAAAGACCCTCGTTGGCCCCTCTTTTCAACCCCAGGCATCAAATGATATCTATCCTTGATCGCGTCGCGTGTGGGTGCATCTGATGCTGGCACTGGCTCCCGCCCAAGACGCGACGCCATGCATGCGGGGCATCATGGCCAAATTGCTTTGCCCATTGACCTACCACAGCCACTGGGGGGAATTCCTCAGCTGATTGCAGCATTAGCATCAGGCCTCGGATGCTGAAGATGGACATTTCCCATGTTGATTGGGATCTGGCCGCGCTCAAGCCCTGTGCATGGATGGTTCTGGACCAGGATACATGCAGGCTTGTGGAGCAGTGTCATGTCGTTGTGTCAATCAATACCGATGAACAATCCCAGCGAATAGACGGCCTTTCAGCACTCCTATGGCTGGCTAATCGTACGGCGCGAAAATCCTTCCGAACCAGGGTTTCAACAAGCAGCAGCTAAGGAGATAGATACTCAATGTCCACGCGTTGGTAGCCGTGCAGCGTTCATGCGGCTTCAGTGAGGGTCCACTGTACAGGTTCCGTGTCCCTGGCTTCCGCGGAGCGTCAGCCTCCTGCTCGGCACCCGGCATTCGACCTTAGTGTTAGTCTACTTTACACAGCGGCGACGGCTCACGCACCCCAATGTCGTATTCTTTTCCCTCGGGTCAGGGCTATCATGTTGCACTCCATCAATCACTCAGAGGCGGCCTCAGTTGTCCGTTTTCTCTTCTCCAGCTTTCTACTCTAGGAATACCCCATGTGCTTCAAACCACTCCATGTACAGCTCATGGGAAAGCCCAACTACGGGAACTCATAATCCGACTTATCTTTGTAATGTGTACTAGTGGGCATGGTTGTGGCACAACCAAGTCATGGCTCACACTGTTGAGTAATCTAGACCGCAAGCTCACAATCACACCGCACTCCCTAAATCACGTTTCTCATCGTGATGGCCATCTCGCCGCTCGAATCGAGATGCCCAAATCATGCTCTCGTTTCTGTCTTTGACGTTCGATGTGCACCCACTCCTTTCCAAAAGATACGCTGTCAGGTGTCGCACAACTAAAAATCAGCCAATCACAGCCATCTCCATATTATTTGTACGCTAGCCATCATCCTGGCTCAAGCGTCGCAGCTTCAATCCTATTGTCAATACTACGGTCAATCATCTGAGCACGTCGTAAGCCTTGCAGATACGTATTGCCTTGCTGGTGTTTTTTTTTCTAAGCTGAAATCGCCATATCGGCTTTATTATCCGCGTCAGCTGCCAATCGTTTAGGAACGCGCGAATCAAGGGCTTGACTAATAGATCTGTAGGTGTGCATGGAAAGAACCCGTATACGCCACACTGATTTATTGTGATTGGTAGTCCTGGTCGCTGTTCTCTCTGTCACATGACGCATCGTACCACGGAGGTCTAGACTGGTATCGAAGCGTCCGCGGCCTTGAACGCTGCAAGGCAGCTGTGCCTAGCATAACGCCTTGATTTCCCATTGCAGCCTTGTGCATATCCAAGACTCCGCTCCGCTGCCCAGAATTCGAGCAGGGAGCGCTTCGGCATGTCTACCAATCCCGCCCAATCCGAGCCAGTGGCGTCCCCAGACCATTCCGCAGTAGATGCTGATACCAGCCATGCGCCCGTGGCCGCTACAAGCGTCACAGTACCGCACTCAGTCATACGACGATATTTGGGTCTTAAGCGCTTGGAGAAGCTAGATCTACCCTACCATCCCTTGTACGAAAATGCGGCGTCAGACCATAGGACGAGTTTGGTCGAGTTTTTCAACCGTCTCTTTACTGAAATCGAGCAAGTTGATTTTGACAAGGATCCGAAAGAATGTGGAATCTGGAGTCCCCGGAGTGGGAATGTGCTGATGCCTCCACTAAACGCCACTGGAGATAACAAGGAACTTCCAGTTCCCATCTCAGTCAAGAAACGTATCCTTACAATCAATCAAGAGCGCTGGCTAGCCCGAACATCCACTCACAGTGATTCGCATGTCAAGTTTTCCGAATTGGCGTACTTGCTTGCACGAGAACATAGTCGCAACGAATATGTTTATACGCCTAGTGTCTTTGATGCTGTTGAACTTCTGACGTGGGATCGAGAAGACTTGCTCACTGCTTTGCGTGCATCAAAACATGGGCAAAGAATACATAATGTAGAGATGTCTAGTAAGTTACACCTGACAGTAGGGTATATAGGCCTTGCTGGCCTTGTTGCCAATTCACTGGACCTGCGTATGGTCGTAAGAGCTTTGCTAACACAATACAGTCTTTCAGAATTTTCACGAAATGCCAAAGGTTGCTGGCCGCGATCTTTTGCAAGACCGTGTCTTCCATGTGCTGGTTGTCACTACACAAACCAATCATGCCGAGAGCCCGTCTGAGCTCGCTCGATCCTCGACTGTTCAGCTGCCGATTGACTTTGAGTCCTTTAATGACAGCATGATAGTGCAAAGAAGCCATGTGAAGAAAATAGGATCATCAAGAACCTATCAGATTCCGCAGAGACATGAGAAACCGGGTTCAAAGTCTGTTGACAAGCGGTTACCGCATCAAGGAAAGAAGTTGACAGAGGGGAAGTACGCTTCGCTGGAACGGCTGACTTCAGCACCAAGGAGGCCACAATCTGATGTTGACAGCCTTGGTGATCATCGTTGGGACATGGTGGGTTTCACAAACTAACTTGGTGCAAACATTGTGCTAACTCGGCACAGATGACTTTGAGTACGGCTGGGGGTCTGACACGCATTGCGCCGAAAAGCGTGCAGGAGAAAGAGACTCTGGTGGCGACCGCAAAAGATATAGAGTATGTTCTTGCATACATTGCTGAGCAGCGGCGCCAGAAGTGCGGCTGAGGGGTGGGGGCTGTGAGTATTAATGGTAGTGCCAAAAGCGGCAAGGCTGAGGCCGAGCGAACCACATGTCGTGGCTGCGACACCATGCCACTTTGCGTACATTTTAACTCTAGTAGGCGGCCTTGCGCCTCATGCATACGAAGCACGGATTTGGAGAACCTGTCGTTTTGCTTTTCTGTATCTACCCGACCCATTAATGCCATCTCATCGTTGTCAACTGTCTTTGTGATCCATTGCTAGTACCTCCCGTGTGCTCCTTTGTGTGCTACACTTGTCGCGAGCTTAATCATACACGCAGACCCCTCAGCTCTCGTTGAAGCGCGACATTTCGGTGAAGACACCGCCATGCAGAACTACGGACAAGCACCGGGCTACCAACAGCCAGGAAGCGCGACGGGCTTCGCAGGCCAGCAGAGCGCGCCCCCGCCAGTACCGCCGCCCCCGCCGGGCTATGGAGGTATGCACATGCAGACTGAAGCTACCAAACACCTATAGCAAGAGCTAACAGATGCTCCCGCAGCTTCGCAAGGATACCAGTCTGTTGCTCCCCAACCGCACGGTCAATGGACTCCGTCCACGCCCACGCCAACTCAGACGTCGAGCCCATGGAACCAATCGCAGCCGCAGACTATGGGGGGATACAATCCGGGTACATATGGGACGATATCAGGCCCACAGCGGCAGTCGTACGCTCAGCAACAAGATGTGCCTCCCCCTCCTCCCCCGAAACCATACGGCTTTGCGGCGGCAATGCAACGACAAGAGCAGCAGCAGCAGCAGCAAAATTGGGCCCAGCAGCCTCAGCAGCATGCCAACTTCACACCTCAGCCCCAACAAGGAGGATACAACAATCAGGGCCCTCTACAGCAGACATACCCCTATGTAGCTCCTCCGCCACCGCATGCGGGAAGACCAAGTTCGATATATGGTACAATTCAGACACCCTCAACCCCAAATGCTCCACCCGTGGCTTCTCAGCAAGCCCATGCAAATGTCATTCCAAACGAACAGCCGTCATCATATGCCCCTCAATCTATGCATGGAACAGGCGCACAAGAGTACATGTCACCTAATGCGAATCTAGCAAATAGTATTCATGGCCCTCCTCCGCCGAATGCCCCAACATGGCAGCAGGCACAACAACAACCGCTCCAGGGAGACACAAACCAATTCACTTACACGAGGCCGGCTGTTGATCAGAATCCTTATGTTCAGGGAAACCAGAGTACGCAGCCTTCCTATCAAGCAGGGCAGCCTCCACCGCTTCCGCCGCGCGTTGGACAGCAGACGGGACAAGCTGCGCAAAACCAGCAACCCCAGTACCATCACTACGGACATCAAGCACAGACACCTGTACAATCGCAACAAACACCAACTCAGTTCCCACCACAGCAGCATGGCTACCAACAGCAACCATATCAAGGCCAAACCGTCCCTCCTGGCCAGCAGCAGCAACAGTCATTTGCGCAGACACAGCATCCGCCAAGTCAATATCATCAGCAATCACACCCGCCGACGTATGGACAAACTTCTTATGACCAGCAGGCCAATTCCTTTCCACAGCAAACACAGCCTCAAAATCAGTGGCAAGCCCCGCCGCCTCCAGATCAAGCTTACAACCATCACATTGCACAAACATCTTATGAAACTCCACAAACACCACAGCCAACCCAAGCTCCAAATCTCAACCAGCAGTATTCTCATGTGCCAAACCAAGCCGCTCAGGAGCCCAATTTATCTAACCAAATTAATCTTGCCTCATCAAGCCCCTATGAATCACGTCCAAACAGTCAGCCAGTATCTCCAATATCCAATCGGCCCAGTCTCAGCTACCCCCCTGGGCAAAATCCGCGCTTCAGCCGTGCCGACTCGATAAATTCCGTTGCTTTCGCCAAATATTGTGCCCAACGTGCCGAAAACAAAACAGCGTCTCCAAAACCTACCATACAAAAATTTTCAACGCCGCCTCCACTACGTGACGACAAATCAACATTCAGTGCATTGGCTGCTGGCGGCCCTTCGGACTGGGAGCACTTGGGTGGCAGTGAGGAGATTGACGACGAAGACCTTTTTCGTACAAAGCCGGAGAGAAAAGGGACTGAGATTGCCCAGCCAGATAGCATTGAACTGCCAGCCCACGTTCCATCCCCTCCGTCAACACACGGCTTCCCAAGTCCTGCAATATACCCCACACACCCAGGATCAAGTGATTCAGTAGACAGATACATGCCTACACCTCCTTCCGTCGTGGCACATTCTAGCGAACGGCGTTCGTCAAGTTCCACACCTGAGGGGTTCGTCGTAGAAGATGCGATCGTGGCGCCCTTGAGAACTACCCCTAAGCCCACAGAGGGTACACGGCATCCTCGAGATCAGCTCGCAGGAGCATCGTCGCCCTCAAATCAGCGTACCTCAGCTCAATCAAAATTCTTCTACGAATCGCAAACAGGTGGTATGGCGGGCTCTGTTACTCCCGCTTATGCTGCCGAACTCAAGGCAAAAGACGAACTCATTGATCAATTGAGGGGAGAGTTACAACAGCAGATTGATCAACGCCGCACCGAGTCTGAGGTCTTCAAGGCTGAAAGAGAGAAATTCGAATCTGAATTCGAGGCCGCGAATAGCCACGCGGCGGGTGAGAGGGATGTTCTGTTAGCGCAACTTGAGAACATGAGGTTGACAGCAGACCAAGCTAGTGCTAATTCCGAGGCCGTGGTCAAAGAGAAAGGTCTCACTATCGACAGACTGAAAGAAGATATGGAAGGGAAGGAGAATAACCTCGAAGAGCGCGACAACACTATTGCCGAGCTGAGACGCCAACTCGAAGACGAAAAGACGAAGGAGCTGCCGAAGCCAACTGCAGCAGATCTCATTCCAGACCTTGATCCGTGGTATGTAGGCTCGTTAGAAAGGTACATTGCTATGCTTCGTGGCGAGGCAATGGAGCCACAGGTCCAGGAAAAGATTAAGATATTCAAGACTTTTGTGAAAGCGGAGGCGGGCTTCAGAGGAATCCCACTTTTCGACGCTCCGCCTCAAGTTTCAGCAGTCGAACCGGTTGCTTCGATACATCCTGAGCAAGATTCGGAATCTCACAATAACTCCAATAGCTCTGGTGCAAAACGGGATCTGAAAGTGCAAGTTCTGCCGGACGTGGCGCAACATGATGACTATGATTACAGTCCAGGTGGAAGGCCCATCATATCGCGGAAACCAACATTACCTCTCATGGATATTACGCAGATGCAGCCCCAAACTGCGCCTTCTGTGCAATCTACCACTATTCTGACCCCAACGAGCTCAATCGATGATGACATGAACAAAACACCGATTCAGTCTCATCCTGAAGAACCATTACAATCACAATATAAAGCCTACGTGCCGCCGAACAGAAACCCTGAAGACCCCCCGCCCTTGCGACATAGACAAACGATGTCCTTCATGAATACACCAAGCGGAGCTTCGTCATCAGGCCTTCACAAGGGTCATGATGAGATCTTCTTTGGAGCGGGTGGGCCGGATACTCATGCACCTGTAAACAATTCCCCCCATAGTGAGAGCGACAACTCTATTCCTCCGTTGAATATAAAATCACATGGCCCAACCTCAGTTGTACCTCCTCACGAAAATGATCCGAACAAATACCTCGTCAGACTTCTGCCACGACAGCTTGAGAGTGAACCTAACCGTCAAATACAGAAGCTCAGAGCCAGACTATTAGATGTAGGAAACGGGCTGGTCAAGATGGAAGAGCTTACGGGTACATGGGAAAAGACAACATCTCTCACCCGGCGAAAAAACGATGATGCACGTCGAAAGCGCCAGGAAGAGAACGAGGAGCATAACGACGACTTGTTCAACAATGATGAGATCTCGTATGCGGAAATGAAACAATTGGAAGAGGAATTCAAGAAAAAGGAGGTAGAGCTCAAAACACAAGAGGTACAGGAGGAATACAAGAGCTACATGGAGACCGTGTTCAACCCAGTCTACAATGGACTTCAGGCAGAAATAAGGCAGCTGATGGATATATACGACGAGGCCCAGCATTTCCTCCAAACGTCTGTGTCTGGCGTCAAGAGTCTCGAAGGTGGCGATCCCCCCAGCACCGAAGACTGTCTCGAGTTCCTGAAAGACATACACAAGCAAGCCGAAAAGCGACACGAAGGCATCGTTCGCATCGTCGCCGAACGCGACCGCCTCTACAAGAAAACTGAGATCCAGCCCCTCTACGCCGCCGGCAAAATCAGCGCAATGAAAGACCTAGAGAAGCATTTCGAAGCCGCAGAGAAACAGGCTGTTCTCAGCGCCAAGCGTGAAAAGGAAAGACGTATTAGCCACCTCGTCAACTTTGTAGAAGACATCGTTGTTGATGCTCTGAGCACCGAACATAACGAGATCGACAACATCCTCGCTGCTATTAAGCGCCTAGACGACAGCACCAGTGACACAGATACCCTTTCCCACGCCCAGTCTACCCTCGAATCCCTCAAGCACTCTTCAAAGGCACTGCTTTCTCTCTTCAACGACCTCGAAATCGAACTCAATAGCGCCACCGCAGACGCTGCCATCGCGCAGGCTGAAAGCGATAAGCGCGGATCGGAGCGGGTGCGCGAGTTGCAGGCTGAGAAGAAGGAGGCAGAGAAGAAGTTGGTGGATGAGTATACGAGGAGAGTAGGGGTGTTGGAAAGCGATGAGGCGGCGATTAAGGCGTTGGTTGAGAGTAAAATGCACAAGGGAAACGGAGATAATGGAAAGGAAGAACGATTGCGTATGGCGCTTGAAGAGGCGAAGAGGAGGAATGGACATGCTTGATTGAGATTGAGTATCAAACCGAGTATGATATATATTTGATATGGCGTTTTCTTAGCGATAATTCTTACATGTTGTCATACGTACAAGATCTAATTCATCACATCCCATCACGGACATTCCTCTCCCTTCCCCTCCCCTTTCCCTTCCTCTTCCTCATCCTTACCCTCCAAATGCGTTGTCCGATCAATCCCCAACCTCATCTGAAAATACTCTCCAACCCCCCACTCCCTATCATCCCCTTGGCCTCCTTCCTTCCGCAAATGCGGCAAAACCCCTACTCGAGCATCCTCATTCGGACTGAAGAAAAACGGCACACTATACCTCTCCTCGCCCCCGATATTGCGCACCCGATGCACAGTACTCTGCCACGTTGCGCCCGTCACCAATTTCAAGAAATCGGCAATATTCACCACAAACGCACGCGGTTCGTAGTGCACGGGGACCCAGCCGCCATTGGCATTCAGCACCTCGAGGGCCGGGTAGGAAGTCGGGGATTGGCAGACGAGGGTGAACCAGCAAAAGTCCGTGTGGGCGCCTATGCCGACGTCCGAGGCGCGTTGCTGCGGCGGGTAGTGGACGGCGCGGACGTTGGTCATGGGGTGCGAGGTTATCTTGTCAAAGTGCGTCTCCGGGAGGGAGAGGGCGAGGGCGAAGATGCGTAGCAGGCGCTTGCTGAAGGTGAACATGGCGCGGTAGTAGCGGTAGAGGGCGGGTCGCCAGAAGAGAGCGGAGGGGTGGGTGGGCCATTGGTTGCGTGGGGTTTGGGCGCTGGGAGAGGGCGTCGAGGTTAGGAGGGAGAGTTGTTCTGGGTCGGTGAAGTCTTCGCCCATTAGGAAGCCTTCTTTGAGATCTATTGTGTATATTAGTGTGAGGATCTGGTGTGTATATGAATGTAGTGGGTAGTATGGGAATGGGAATGGGAAAAGTGTGTATGTATGTGTGTGTGTGTGTATGTATACTTACCACCTCGTGTACTGGGATCTAGTTTTCCCTCCAAGAACGCCTCGTAGCCTCTGAATTTCTCCGTCTTTTGATTATGGGTTTCCATTTTGACGTCGGTGGGGAGGGCAAAGTATTTTTCTAATGCGGCAAAAGTATCCTCTAATACTTCTTCGTCTACGCCATGGTTTACTGCGTAGAAGAAGCCAACGTCTCGACAAGCAGCGCCTACTTCCTTGGCCAGCTCTTTTCTATCTTCAATATTGTCCGAGTATATCCGCTGAAAGTCAATCTTGGGTAGTGCGCTGAATGTTTCCTTTGCTTCGGCTCCCTTGAGTACGCGCCGTCGACCCGGTACGCCGCCGTCATGGTAGTGAACCCAGGTTTCAGATTCCATTTCTGCTGTTGTTGCAGTCGACATGGTTTGCTTAGGAAATTTACAGTCAAGATACTCCAAATAAACTCGAATACAGTATATAATTCACGAATGCAAGTGGTCGCAGAAAATGGAAACGTATATACCATGTGCAGAAAAGCAATAGACGGAAGGCGCCACAACTACAAGCACTCTCCCCACCATCACTACTACCATCACTACCACCATTATCCATCCCACCGGCTGTTGTAGCCATGGAGATCTTGCAGGCGCAGGAGTAGAATCGCTGTATCAAGCCAATTGGGACAGACCACGTTGTGGGGCAAGGCGTAAGTATTGTGGCAAAACCGAACCACACCTACATGAACTGTACATGTCCCCCCTCAGGCCAGAAGACGGGTGGGACGTAATCCAAGACTTTGTACATATGCCGCCGCTGCATTTTTCGGAGAAGAGCGACTGGGTGGGCAGACGCGTCCTTGCTTTCATGAATCCTGATCCTGATGCACGGGCGGAGGAGGGGGGGGTGTAGAGCAGACATTGACCGATGGGCGGGTTGAATGTAAAGTGGGTGTGTGGACATGCGTGTGTGTGGACAGTCGAACTACCAAAAACGGCAATGCAAGCTACTCGCACACCGCGGGGAGGGTTGAAAAGAAGGCTAGAGCAGGTTACGGGGAGGAAGGACCCTTGAATAAAGCACTTGTCAGTGCTCTTTGGGCGTATTTCTCAACTTGTAACTTGTGAATAGTGTACGATATTTGCACAGCTTCTTTCGAACATGCTTTGGGGCGGACGCCGCCATCTGCAGCCACGGCACTTTGCCGAAGAGACCCTTGGCTGAGTGGTTGGATCTACCAGGTGATCCTTACGCCAATGACGAAACTTCCAGATTGGTATAGCATATCGTTGGCCATCGGAGTTGAGCGCGCTTGGACGACTGTAGAGATATACCGTGCAGGCACTAGCGCTCTGCAGAAGGGGGGGTTGCTGGTCCAGGCAGTTGTATTCGTACGACTCGGTAATTTATGAGTGTATAATACGCATTGATACTATAAGTGGACAGATGGCATATTAAACAGGACGATTCATTAATAACGCAGTGTGTAGTGGATGAAGGCGGCGCATGCGTAAGGTAGTGCGTAGGATTTATTGCTCCACAGTGGGTAAAGCGTCATGAATCCCCGCCTCCCCGCGCCCTCGCCCTTGGTCTTGAGGGGGGCCGTGGCCCCAAGATCCCTAGACTTAGGCTTGCATCTCAAAAATAGTAGCATGCCGATGCAAACACGATTCAAATATGCATAAGTGGGTCCTCCGTGAATAAAAAAAGGGTATCCGTGTACTATGTATTATGTGGACTTTTGGAAGGTTTAGAACAAAAAAAGAAACATCTGTCGTGACATAGCAAACAGATAACACGTTCATGTATTCATCGATCGTGCTTCGATAGTGAGGCGATTTGCAGATCGTTCGGGGTAATAACTAAAGCAGAACTCCTTTTCTTAACCCATCTATTACTTATCGAGAATAGCCAAAACCCCCTGGGTATATTGTGAAATGCAAAAAGTCAACAAACAAAAGCCGCAGTTGAAGTCCCCGGGGACACGCAATTGACGCTGACTGCGGCATTTGGTAAAAAAGTCTATTTCTTTCCCAGCTTATGCAAGAGATCCTTGCCCTTGCCCAAGAGACCCTTTGCAGCACCGTTGTCGTCGTGTTTAGCTTCGTCGCTCTTCCCCGGCGCAGATGCGTCATTGCTGATGACGTTGGCTGCACCTCCTCGGCCGTAGTGTTTGGGGCCTGCAGTCTCTGGCTGTGGTGAGCCCTCGACGTCTTGAGCAGCACGCGCAATCTCGGGGCGCTCGGGGTCGTTGCGAGCCATATTTCCAGTTCCGCCTCGACCGGTGGTGTAGGTATCGCCCTTGAGTGTCGGTGTAACGAGGTCTTCTGGCTTGGGATAGTTTGTTGGGTCGTCTTTTGCAATGTTGCCTGGTAGGGGTCAGTACAGGCAACAAGAAAACTCCTATGCAGCAAGCGACAGCCCGCATACGACCAGGCTTCCACACTGACTAGAGCCTGGATGCGCTGTTTGTAAAAATTCTCACACTCAGCAGTCCGTCAAGCTGACGCTGCGAAATTGTGCTTATCAAAGACTCAGGAGAATGCAAGTAACTTACCAGCACCTCCGCGTCCGTGTGAGGCCACGCGCTGGTGGTTATCCGTCGGTCGAGTTGCCATGATCAGGGACAATTCGGTCAGAGAGAGAGAGAGAGTCCGTAGGTAGAATTGGAGGTCGCAAGATGACGAGGTAGCGACTGGCGCAGAGAAAAGGAAATCAACAAAGACCCAAGGGATGAGGCGATAGAAGCCACCTAGCACGTCTTATATTACACACTCGCTTGGCTTCTTTTGCAAGCAGTAAAGCCGGGCAGTCGAATCAAGACTTTTCGAGGGCGCTGGTCCGGTTCGCGCCAGGAGGACCATATTTTCTCAAGCACCATTGTCGTTAGCACCAGTAGCCTTGTCGGGCCTGGGCACGACGCGCCAAAGGGTGCTCAACCGTGTGTGATTTGGCGGTGCCTTGCCCTCTGACCTGTTGAACCTTCCATGCTTTGTGCGTGCGTGACTCTTTTTTGGAGTTTCTGTGACTAAATTTTTAATTCATGGGGCGGGGTCGACAGGACGCAGGCGGGGGAATGCTGTAGTCTGCCATGAGGTGACACGGCTCCAAAACCAAGCGAATGGGGATAGAGGAGAGCGCTTCTTTGGTACAAAGAAAAATCAGGGTGCACTAGGGTTTTTGACGTTGGCATGATTGCGAGTACATGTTATCTTGAGTGCCAGCGCGTGACGCAACCAGCATGCATGTAAGTAGTGTACGTACGCAGGTGGGCGTGTAATGCCATTACCATCTTTGCCGAGGTCGCAGGCGGCAGCGTGGGGGGGAACGAGTACGAGAACGATGCGCCAAAGGTTCCACTTCTCCTCCACCACCTCAAACTTGACAGCTCCATTGCGCAACGTGTATTTGTATTCTTATTCTTCAGACCGTGACGCGTTACATGTTCTCCCGGGGCGCAAAGTTTCAACACGATCGGCAGTAGCATGTTTCAAACTTTATGTTTTGTATTGTTCTAGCGTTTACGCAAACCGTTCTTGAACTATTCGGCAAACGACACTGGAAGCTATAGTACAGTCTATGAAAAAACGCTTCTCCAAACTTGATGAAACTGCCAATCAATCCGGCTAAAATCTTGGCGGTGCATTTCTCATGCGAGATGATCGCCCTCGCTTCTTCATATTATAACGCCGTCTATGCATCCCAAAAGAGACTGCTTCAAATACCCAAATATACCCTGGCGTCTGTGTTTCGCAAAAGACAACAAGGAAAGCCCAAACGCCGAAAATGTATTCCAATGTACAGGGTGGTGTGACAGGCCGTTGCCGGAAATCTAATCGCTCAAATGACAAGAAAAAAAATGTTGTTGTTGTTGTACAGTGCGTGTAAGAGGTGTTGGTCGACAAGTCTTTTTACGCCGGCGCGGTGCCATTGACGAATGCAATGGAATCGGATGGTCCAATTGGATGTGTAAACTGAAGCATGTTAGAATGCGTTGGTGGTGATGATGGTGCTAAAAGGCCGGACGTACTTGGATGCGAGGACATTGGGGTCATTTAACCACCATCTCGTGGCTGAGGGCCGTCGCCGGCCATGGAGCACAGCATTGCCGAAGATTGTCTTAGTCGAGCACCTGGGTGAGGAGCTCCTCCGTCTCTGGGTTGGGGGTCGCCGTAGGCGAGGTTGAGAGTTTGCATATCAAGTCTCATAGTGATGATGGGTGTGGTGGTAGTGCTGATTTGCATGCGTGTGTGTGTGTGTGTGTGTGTGTGTGTGTGTGTGTGTTCAAATTTGAGTGTGATGCTCAGTAAAGTGTGTGTAGTATTAATGTTTGTATTGTAGTGATGTGATGGTGGTAGTAATAAGATACAGTCTAGAGGATGTACAGAGAGTATATAAAGCTAAGGAAATCCTGAGGCCTGCCATAAAACCAGCTGCCTACAAAAACAGGCAATGACTGCCTTCTCCAGGCGGTGACGCAGAGGACCATATGGTATTCCGCCCCAGGTGATGGAATTGGACTTGGGAAGGACGATAGACTGTGCCCTGTGCGGAAGGCAGGGCGGGCGGTGATTGGCGGGTGCCCTGACGAACAAGGCGACCACCAGGCTGCAAGGTCGAGTAGCGGCCTTCTGGAAGACTCAGAATGCAGTCACACCGAGGGTGACTGGATTAGTCGACCGGGAGTGCTGCGCAAAAGCGCCGGCGTCGAAGTGCGCATTGTGTGCTAAGGCAATACTCGCAGGCAGAAAAGGGCGCTCGGTGGAGCGTGTGAATGGTGAACCAAGGTTCGTTGCCTGGGCTGGTGCAAGCGGCGGCCCCCAAATGGTGCACAGCCGCAGCAAAGCCACTGAGCCGTGGCAGACACGGCAGACTCGAGGCACTCTGCGAGTTTGGCCCCGTTGATAAGTAGGGAGCGGGCAGCCCCCAAGTGCTCCGGCGAGCGACCAAGAGCGAGTTTCGAGTTGAGTTGCTGCAAAGGCGGCGGATTCGGTCACCGGACCCTGACACAGCCCGTAACAGCAGCAGAAGCAGCACTTTCCGGATTGGGCGGCCAAGTGCTGCGCCCCGGAGGACCATGTCGTCGTGAGTTACGCATCCAGGGCGGACTAGCGGAATGCCCTGCAAACCGCAAAAGCGCGCGCAACAAGATGGTGGTGGTGGTAGTGGTGGTGGTGGTGACGAGGAAATGGAAGTCGCTTGCTGAGACAAAACGTATGGTGGGCGTGCTGAGGTGCAGGGTGATTGGGGGAGTTGATTGGGTATGGTGGCGCAGCCATCCATTCATTTTTCCCAATGGGGAATTGGTTTTCCTGAGGCACCATGTCAGTCACAGCAACTAGAGGACCACGAAGGACTTTTATTTTATTTTTTGGAAGGGGGGGGGGGTGCGGATGCAACTTACTGCCACCGTCTCCAGGGGGGCCGCTGCCATCGGGCATCTTGGGCTTGTTTGTGGCGAAGAGCATGGTTGTGATTGTTGTTGTTGTTGTGGTGGTGGTGGTTGATGTTGAGATGGGGAGTCAAGTAATAATAGTAGTAGGTGAAGTAAGTATGCGTGTAGTGATGATGGATGCGAATGTCCTGATTTGGGCGGGCGCAAGAGTGTTTATGAATGGGGACGGGACAAGACTATGTCTGAGACTTTAAGATTGACAAAGGCGGCTTTTGGGTTTGTCGAGCAGCGGTGCAGCGGGAGTATCAGTAGTTGTGACAGTGGACCGATAGTTGGGACATATATATTTAACTCGCAAAAGTCATGGTCCCTCAGCATCACCATGGACTGACGTCTACGCTTGGCCATGGGCTCGATGATGCATTCACGGGGCAACGGACGGGCCAGACGGGCACCCAGCGAGTACGTGGCCCTTTTCGGCGCAAGTCTGGAGCACATGTCGGGCGAAGTGAAGCAATTGCACATTGCTTCTCTGGGATGAGTCTTGTGCGGTGGATGCGAAAGGGGATGCAACAAGACAGAGCCGGCGCCCCCACTCTCTGGGGGTGAAACAGCCAATCGCTATCCGGCTGAGCCTTCCCGGCGTCTCAAAGCGTCGTCGACAAGACGGAGGGCCGTGCGCGGATAACATAAGCGGTCGCGTGTTTGTGAGGAGGGCCCTGCTGACGAGGCTGGGCTGACCAGCTTGCTTCACTCTGTCCACAGCGCCCGTGTCATGGACGACGACCTGCCACGGCTCCCAGCCCGCCACGCCCGCAAAGCCCGTCTTTCTAGACGCCTTCTCCTTTGGTCGTGCCATGCCGTCATAGGGCCCTTTCACCCTCAATTGATCCCTATCCTATCCCTCTGCCTCTCCCTCTGTCTGCTGCTCTCGGGCCTCCACCAATGCGTTGTCACTCACGTTCTGGCCAGCCACGCTATCCATCCCACCCCCCCGTCGCCCGTCGCCCGTCTCCCCCCTCGGCCCGCCTGCGCAGCCAATGCAGGTACATTATACGTTGGACATGTACATACGCACTCGACACTGCCATTCATTCATTCATTCACTCATTCACCCACTCACCAAGCCCGCTGACGTTCACGGCCGCAACAGATGTCGTGCGCCGTGGGTCGCCGGGCCATGGGTCAGCGGTGGCATGTGCTGCGGAACTCAGCTTGAAACCTTCCGTCCAGGGTTTCATCCCTACAGACTCTACCCTAATGTTTGCGTGGCCTCTGCCATTGTGCCCTGGGCCTTCTTCGCTGCCTGCCTGCCTGCCTGCCTGCTTGCCTTTCCGCCTAGACGGCACTACCTCCTGAGACAAACTGTACTTTGTGCTGTAACATACTTAGTCGTCGGCCTGCCAGGGGGGGCGGGCTAGGCACAACCTTTCGCCTACTGGACCGTCCGCCCCGTCCCAGAATAGCCCCAGCCTACCACGACGTTGCCCTGAGTTGCCCTTGGGCCTGCTTGCCCTTTGCCTGGCCGTGGTTGCCCATGGTGCAGAGCACGTGAGACCCTTCAGTTGCTTACCAGGCCTGCAACCAATGCCTTGCCGTGTCCTAATGTTTTGCCTGCCCTCTTGCGACTCCCAGTAAAACACGACGCTTCATTTACTCGCTCTGCCTTCTCCACTAACGGTCTTTGTTTCGCCCATCAGGGGCAGCGTCTAGAGTCTAGAGCTCTCCACTCCACGTGGCAGCCGTCTCCCATTTGCATTTGCATTTGCTGCGTACATTTGGCCTTTGCATTGGCATTGCCATGGCCGTGGCCTGGGCCTGTCTGCATAACACAACCCAACCCTCTCACTCTCTTCACCACTCCTATACATAGCAAGTGTGAGCTTTGCTTATGCGACCGCCACGGCGTCTCGCTCCACGTTGCTTTTGGCGAGTTGCCGCAACATGTCAGTTTGCTTCATTTCCCTTGCCCTTCCATGGCCTGCTGCCACACTCGTCATCAACAGGGCCCGACGCCCGGCCCGGCCTTTGCTTCTTTGCCTCTCGCTCCCCCGTGTTGCCGTCTATGATGCGCATCATTGCGTTTCCCACTGCTCAACTCAATTCCAAACTTGGCACACACAGCTGCAGAGCCAGGATGATGATGAAGATGATGATCCTCACAAACCCACCAGACACGATTCTTCTTGTCGGAAACATTGCCCTGTCCCTACGCCCTTCTCCGTGTGATGTAGTCGATTGATGGGCTCTAGCTGCGGGGCGATCATTCTGGTGCCATGTCGGATCGACCAGACCCTGCCGCCAGGCCCAAGCCGTTAACCGTCACTGCTCCACCTCAGCTGCAAACAACTCTCTGCCCCCGCGACCACCACGCGAAACTTCGCTGGGCCCAGGGTATGGGCTAAACACTTGTTGAAGAAGATCTTTCGAGGAAATTACCCCTATCCACCTCAATCATGCCGCCAAAGTCAAACTTCAAGCGGGCCATGCCCCAGACGCAGCCGTCCATGCTGGCGTCGCTGCGCACCACGCAGCTCGTGGGCGACTCAAAGGCCGTACTACCTGCAGGTACGAACTGCCCAGTTCGTGGGCTCACTCGTCTGACCATGACTTGCAGAGCTCATCAACACCATCCTCGACTACCTGCCCGTCGCCGACATGTTCAACTTTGCGCGCACCTCGAAACGTATGCGCGAGATGGTATATGACGACACAAGATGGCAGCAGAGACTGAGGAGCATGGGTTGTTGGAACGAAGCAGAGGCCAAGCAGAGGTTCGAAGAGGCCATGAAGAAGAAGTTGCAGGCACAAAGAGCAGAGGATGCACGCATAGCAGGCGTTGTGCCCAATGGCAGCACCAGCTCCATGGCACCGGGCAACAATCACGTGGACAACACCAGCATGACTCTCTTTGACGCTACCATAGAGGAGGATATGCTGCGCAAATCCCAGGATCACCAAGGCAGACCCCGCTCCACGACGCTCGACAAAGGCTTCAACGATATGACCCTGTCGGCATCTGGAACACTAGCCCCAAGCTCCTACATCGTTGACCCACAAGCTGCCGTCAAAGTACTGGCGAACGTGCGTTCCATACGGGGCATGGCACGACAAGAGTATGGCAAAGTGTATGGTGCCTTGGCTCCCTTCTACTACGACATTGAGAGGTCGCGAAGTCATGCCGATCCTATATTATTCCGAACGTATCGTGACCCGGAGCAGCAAGCCCAGATGCTTGCCCAGCTCAAGGTATTTGCAAAGAGCGACTATGCTCAAGGCTGGCATCAGCGTGAAGAAAAGCTCGATACAATGACCGGCATCTTCGAGAACGCCGTGCTTCGCGAGTTCGAGCAAGGCTACGCTGAAAAGGACTTTGATGGCCGTATGAAGCGGTTTGCCTCAGTCTTGGTAGCCTTGAATGGCGGTGCAGCATGTCTAGACTCGTTTATCCACAATCACCCGTTGATGTTGGACAAGGAGAGGCTCGGAGATCCCTCCGATTGTTTGCAAGGTGATGAGGTGACTTTGAAGCCGTCGCATGAATTTTTCAAAGGTCTAGCTACCGAGCTCAATAACGAGGCCGCTATCATTGATCGTGTTTTTCCGCCTACGGTTGACGTTCTACAGACCTTTCTAGAGCGTGTTGCAGACGATGTCATTGCAGAGTACCTCACAACTCTTTTTGACCAGGCTCATGACGTGAGCATCGAAGCCTATTTGAAAACTGTCGCTGGCATTTTCGACCAAGCGCTGCAGCTAGCAGTATCCCTGCATCCCACCAAGGCCTCCAAGCCTGATTTCCAGCAAGAGGCGATTCGCATCATAACTCGGTGTTTTGAGCCTCATGTCGATCTTTACCTGCAAGAGGAGTTGGATTATTTCAAACGCAAGTCGGCGGCAGAGGTTGATGTGTGGGAGAAGCGACTGCTGGAAGAAGAGCTAACTACTGAAACTCGGTTCATGGCAAATGTGAACCGGAAAGCTGTTAAACAAGATTTTCTATCGTCGTTCAAAAAGGTGGTCATGATGCCCGTCAATGTACTACCCACCATGGGCGGCTCCAGCTCGAGTAAACCCAGCGCAAATAGAAATAGCACCTTGGATCCGACCTCGAGAAGTGGCACTCCGCTTCCTGGCGATGGGACCTCGACCCCACGGATGGACGCCCCGACGTCTGAACTTGCTGCCAAGGCGGCCATTATGAACTCGCGGTTAGAAGGAATTCGATCCCTTTTCAGTATCGAGGTTGCCCTTAATCTGACGCACATGGCCAAGACTAGTCTCGAACGTGCTGCTCGATTTGTCCAGCTTGGAGGCCAGTCTGGTGAAGAGGCGAAAGAACAGTCGGAACAAATTTTCATTCACCTTGTACAAATTCTCGGGAACCGCCATATGAAATTGGGGTTTGACAAGGCTGTCAGCCACCTAGCGGATTACAAGCCGAGAGAGGTGGCGGACCACAGCCAGGAAGGAGTTGCGCCACTTGTAGCTTTTCTGGAGCTTGTCAATGTCGGAGACCTTATACAGCAGATGGTCGAAGTCTTTTATCTCCAGGAGCTTGTTGCTGCCAACCTCACAGACCGGGATGATTTCCTTAGCCTGGCAGCAAAAGAGAAGAAGCGATTTGAGGCACAACTCGACGAGAGCGTGGCTGCAGGTCTCAACAAAGGTATTGATGTGCTGATGGACGAGGTCGAGTACCTTTGTGGTACGACGCAGGATCCGACCGATTTCAACCCTCCGATTGGGCCCAACGGCGTGGTAGAGATGTCGGACATTGGGCCGAGTCAAACAGCACTCAAGATTGTAGAAGTTGTGTCGTCACACACGAGCATGCTCATTGGCAGCACAGACAAGAACGTGCTTGATGTGTTCAACCAGGAAGTAGGCGTGCGTCTGTTCACTGCTCTTTGCAAGCATTTGAAGCGGCAGAGAATCAGCGTGGATGGCGCCATCAAGCTCATTAGGTAAGGTAGCATCTGGCTCTGGATACCATGGGGGCGTCTACTGACTATGTGCAGCGACATGAATGCCTACAACACGTACATTGTCTCTCTGCGTAACAAGCCGCTCATCCAGTACTTTGCTGCGCTGCGCGAGCTCTCACAAATATATCTGATTGACGCGAAGCAAGCCAAAGAGATTGCTACCATTATTGCGGACACAGACCGGTATCACGGCATCTTCCGAGCGGAGGAGGTGTACGAGTTTGCAGAGAGAAGAGCGGACTGGTATCAAATCAAAAGCGCAGTAGAGAAGCAAATGTACGGAGTTGGCTGCTGGGTCATGTGAAGGACTACCGGGTTGAGTGAGTGGCGCAGGCTGAGAAGCAGAAGGGATGCAGGACTACCGCTTTTGGACGAGTATGTATGCAGTCTGCCGATAGGGCAAATGGTGCGAGAGAAAAAGTAAAAATCAAGCTGTGTGTTTGGTGAGTGTGTGTATATGCGTACGAGAACAAATGCCGCATGTGTATTAAGCAGTCCATAGCTATATGAGATGACTGGCGGATGGGATGGATGCAAACATGTGTTGGCTGGGTGCGTGAAGGCAAAGGTGATGATGGCGCGGTAGTGTTTGGGGTTCCCCAGCCTCCTCCTCCTCCAAGGTCGGGCCGTACCTGACTAGACCGCGCCCGTGCATGTACGTCTTCACACCTCATCGCGCATGCCTCGATTGTCGCAGTCTGCCCTAGTGCCAGCCTCTGTATCCAGCAAACCTCTGCGACGGTGTCCTCTGCTGCATCTCCGGCTTCTGCGTATACACAAGCTGCATTCAACGCCCCTGTGCCACTCATCTGCTGCCCGTGACTGGACCCCGCTACGAGTCGTCGGCACAACGGGACCGCTCGAGAGGCTGCGAAGTGTTTGGCTGCACCCTGGCTGCTGTCTCTTAGCTGTCTCTTGAGTCTGGGCCGCGACCACAATAGTTGCTTGCTGGGTGAGAGCCTGCTGGCGACGCTTTGGCTCCCCAACGACGCCCTGTGTAGACCTGCGCCTGTTGCGCGAGCCTTCCTCTCACACGCTCCGGCTTCTGCATCTTGCAATAACTGACCGTGCTTCCCGCTCATCGACCTTGTAGTTGCGACTCTCACTACTCCCACCAAACACCACAGCCATGTCGGGTAAGCATCCGCTCGCAGTCTGCCACGCGCCCACGGCCGCATGCTAACATGGCGCATCAGACCCTCTCCCCGCAGAGGTCGAGGCCTCGTACTCGGTCATCATTGACGACATTCTTCGCGCGAGCGACATAAATACCATTTCGGCGAAGCGCATACGAAAGGGCCTACAGGAAAGAGTCGGCGAGGACCTGTCGCATCAAAAGGAACAAATCACCACGCTCATCATGCAGCGCTTCGACAAGTTCAACAGCGAGCAGAACGGCGCCTCTGACGTCTCGGAGCCCACTCATACCGTCGCGAATGGCACAAAGACATCCAACGGCGATACATCAGACATGTCCAACCACAAGCGATCGCCGCCCGATGACGAGTCTGTGATGTCGGGGCCTGACGAGAACCCACCGCCCAAGAAGAAGAACAAGAAGACCAAAGTGAAAGATGAGGACGACGACGCGGCGTTTGCAGCCAGGTTACAGGCAGAAGAGAATGCGCGCATGGGCAGGGCAACACGGGGCGGAAACACGAAGCGGAAAGCGCCCGCGCCCAAAAAGAAGGCCAAGAAGAAGAGCGCAAACAAAGTCAAAGACGACGACGACAGCGACGTTGGCTCAGGCAGCGGAGGCGAAAAGAAGAGTCCCAGTCGGAAAGGAGGCTTCCATGTCAGTTTTTTTTTCCATCTCATCTATCTCTTTTTTTTTCCTCTACGTTTGCGCGAAATCCAAAAGCCCTAATAATCCATTTTACTAACTCAAATTTTTTTTCCATTTACAGAAACCAATGGCCCTCTCCCCAGCCCTATCCGAACTCCTCGGCGAAACACAACTCTCGCGGCCCCAGACAGTCAAGAAGATTTGGGAATACGTCAAAGCGCGCGACCTGCAAGATCCCAACGATAAGCGCCAGATTCGCTGCGATGACGCTATGCGCGCGGTCTTCAAGCAAGATCGTGTGCATATGTTTACCATGAACAAGATTCTTAATCAGAATCTTTATGCTGTGGATGAGGTGGTGAATTAAAGTTGGTTGCTTGTTTGGTTGGTTGGTTGGTTAGTAGTTTTTGTCTGGGGGGAGGGGGGGGGTGTCAAGCCAAACAAAAAGCTACATAACATGACTATTTACTTAGTCTAATGCTTTTCCCCCTTTCCCCCTTGTTTGCCCCTCATTCTTCGTTTCTATTTTCCTTTTGGATTTCTGAGTTTGGATTTTTTTGTTCTCTCTCTCTCTCCCGAGTAGCATGGCGTATTCACGGTAAGAGGTCGTGTATTTTTCTTGTTCTTCTTCTTCTCTTTCAGCGCGCATCTTTTCTTATGGCCTATCTTTTTTTTTCATCTCAAGCAGAGCAGGATTTGGTAGGGTTGGGGGGTTTTCCTTTTACTCCTTTTTTTTTAAAGTATCACACTTCTTTTCTATCTTATCTCTATTCCAAAGGAGATGGGCATGGTCAGGGGGTTGGTCTGTTGGTCGTTGATACTTGAATCAAAAAAATTAAAATAACATACATATATAGCATATATACATATTGGGCGAAAAGGAGTGAGTGGGATTGGGAATGCATGCGTAAGGCAAGGCTGGGCCGGGGAGGGGGGGTGGGGGGATAAGCGAAGTGAGGGAAGGGGAAAGGGCAAAGCGTAGTTGGGGGATATAAGAAGTAGCATGAATGCTGGCTTCTTCTTCTTCTTCTTTTTTCTTCTTCTTTTAAGCGAATGAAGTGTTTCTAAAAACAAGTACAGGATATGCGTGACGATGTTTGGAAAGGGTGTGTGTGTGATGAGATAGTGATGTAGAGTTATGTCAATTTGCAACATGGTTTACCACATTGCAATATATCACGGTACTTCACCAATGACAGATCAATGCAAAGGAGCAGGACATAGACGTATGGCATGAATTCATACCACTCATACTCAGATTTAACCCATTACAACTTTAAAAAAACAGACAAAGGCAAAGAAAAGAGGTATCCAATATCCACACAATACTCCAGCAGGCCCCAGAAAACAAGAATCAGAAGAAGATGTCACAGTTTAGTAACTTTACACATGGCTGCATGTCCTTCTCCTTCTTCTCGAGTTCCGTTCATCTTTCGTTTCTCTCTCACTCTACTTTCCAACGTGCTAAAAACCATCGGGGAGCTGTAACTGAAACCCAGCGTCATCATCATCTTCCTCTTCAGCGAGGGCAATGTTCCCATGCAACTGATTGCTAAAGTTCTTGGTCCAGGCGTCGTCGTCTTCATCGTCAGAACGCGCAAGGAGCAATAACTCCATTTCGCGCTCAAAGTCTTCGGCGGTACGACGAGGCTGGTCGTCCTCTGCGGAAGAAACGAGCGTAGCGTTGGTAGAGGTGGAGCTGCAGCGAGAAATGGGACCTCGGGAGCGGCCAGTGGAAGCACTGGTGCTTGCGCTGCGTACATGACTGGTCGTGACGGGGCGGGCCATGGCGGAAAAGGGCGCAGGCTTGGTGACGTTGGAGAGAGGCTTGCGCGCTGCTGCTGGAGCAGTACGTCCAGCACGACCCTGAGCATAGCCAATTGTGTTCTTGGACACTACTGAAGCTGAGACCTGGCGAGAGGATGCCATCTCTGTAGGCGTCTTTGCTCCCTTTCTGCCAAAAACCGGTCCAGTAGGTACGCGCGATTTGACGGCCACGGTAGGAGCAGCATAGCTGGGCTTCGAGGTTGGGAGAAGAGCGGCTGCTGCAGATCGGGCGCGTATAGTCGATGGTCCAGTTGGAGCCTTTCTAAGCGCAGAAACGGACGTCACTGCTTTGGGCGCTGCCTCTTTCTTCGGTTCCTTGATGCCGTAGTATTCCCTCATCTCAGCGTCGTCCTTGGCCATTTGGGACGCAAAGATCTTCTCGAAATGCTCGTCGCGCTGCTTGCGGCCCTTTTGAAGTTCCTCCTCAAACTTGCGCTGCTCGCGCGTGCGTCCGTCACCTTCAATTGGGTTGTGGTAGGCCTGCCAGATGCCGCGCACCATGTCCTGCTCGCTGATCTTAGGAATAGTCCAGTTCCTGGGGAGGTACTCGTCCATGTCATCCTCGAGCGGAATCTCCTTAGGAGGCATGTACTCGACTTCGGGCACATCATCTTCAGACTCGTGGGCGACTTCGGGTTGGTGGACCTTGACTTTTGGACGACGAAGACGCGGGCTGAGCTTCTGCGTCTTTGCAGAAAGAGGCGCTGGCGTCGCAAAGGCTCTGGATTTGGCATTGGTCGTTTTCATGCCCAACGGTGCACGCGTGCGGGGTCCTGTATGTGTTAGTTTTGGTGAATGTATTGCGCGGCTATTCCGTCATACCGGCTGGAGTAACAAAGGCATTTTGGTCAACTTTTCCACCCTTGCCGCCTGTAAATAGTTCGGCTCCTTTGCCTTGAGTCTGCAGAATCGATTTCGCGCCTTTGGTCACGGCATTTTCGTCGTTGAGCGGGATCTTGAAGGGCGTCTTGGGGGCTTTGTTTCCTGGTGTTTTGGCGTTGAATCCCTTGATGCCCGCGTTTAGCGACTTTGAGCCGCCGGCGGCGTGCAAATGGCGGACGGCATTTTCCTGGTCGTTTGCTGCGAGAGTTGCCATGGCGGTGGTTACATTGAGCGAGTCGTGTGGGGGGCGGCGGGCGGCGAGCGGGGGTTGGCGGAGGTAGATAGTGTCGGGGCGGGTGCTTGTGTGTTTACTGGCGGTTGCTGGGGCGGCGGCGACCAAAGAGGGTCTGGGCTGGGACAAAAGGGTCCGGGCGGAGGTAGTCCCTTTCGGCAGCGCTTGCCCGCATTGTCAGCTTGCACACCCCAACTGCAAGGCACATTTCTCAGACATCCACGACAACACACCTGCTCCGCTTCATTCCACTATATAAGCTGCTGACCTCTCCACCGTCTCCGCAGCACCACACCACGCAAACACTCCTTCTTCCCATTCACACTCTACACACCGCCCGCCACCATGGATCAGATCAAGAAGGTGAGTCGACGCATACCCCGCCAATGCCCCTTCCCACCATGCCCAACCCTACCTCTGGCAGACGCCACATTCCACGCCTGTCACGCCTCAAATGGGAAACATACGCTAATATGGCCTTTTTGCACAGCGCATGGAAGCTCTCCGCGTCGAGGCGGATGAGAGCAGCGCCCGCGCTGAGGAGCTCAAGGCCAGGGTCAAGCAGCTCGAGGCCGAGACGACACAGAAGGAGCAGGAGATCACCTCGCTGACGCACAAGAACTCTGTGCTCGAGAGCGAGGTTGAGAAGCTTGAGGGGCAAGTCAAGATCCACAAGGACGAAGCTGGTGCAGGCGCTCAAGCCGGCACTCAAGCCGAGAGCCTCCAGCGCAAGATTCAAGTTCTCGAGGAAGAAGCTGAGGAGTCGGACAGGACGATCCGCGAGCTCAATGAGAAGTACGATTGCTCTCTTTTCCTTGCCTTCCGATGGATGGCCCTCTGCCATTACCACTGCTGCCACCATCACTACCCACCCCCCTGATCTGCGTGTACTGACTCGCTACCCCTCTTAGGCTCCGCCAAACCGACGTCAAGTCCGGCCACTACGAACGCAAAGTCCAGGCTCTCGAGCAATCCCGCGACCAGTGGGAATCCAAGTATGAGGAGATGGCCAAGAAGTACGCCGACACCAAGAAGGAGCTCGACGACTTTGTCAAGGAGATTGGTAACATCTAAGCTGGTTTTTTCTTGTTGTTGCGCCCTTGCGACTGTATTCAAATAGGAAACAAGGTGCTTTAGCTTACTGTGGGACCGTCGAGATAGAGGCAGATTTCACACAGACACACACATGACATTCGCGTACAAAACCCCTACTACACTACTACTATACAACTGTTTCTTTTTCTGCGGCTGCTTGCTGGGCGGGTCTGTTCGCCTTTTGTAATCCCTGAGCAAATACAATGTTGGTGGATCCCACCAGACACACGTAATACCCCCTTTAGAATCTCACAGTGCGTTGGCCGCCGTGCATGATGTGAGATGTGTACTTACTGATGGGGGGTTCTAATGAACCCCCTGGATAATATGAGCCGCGGACATGACGGGATGGAAATTGTGTCAGATGTTTATGCTTTATTGAGCAAACTGAACAAAAGTTATGAAAGGGGGGTAAGGGGGGGTATCATTTTTTGTGTATTCCTGCACAAAAGCTCTCGAAAAGCTCTACCCCACCAGCGTAAACGCTCACAAGACAATGCAGATGCAGATGCAGATGCAGAGATAGAGGGACAGAGAAAGAGAGAAATATCACGCCGCGCGTCTACTACTTTTTGTTCGTCCTCGCCTCCTTTTGCTTCCTCTTCTTCATGCCCTGCTTGATGCGCTCCGCCTTTCTCTCCGTCTTCGTCTCGTACCTGAACTTTTTCTTCTTCTTCTTGGGCTTATCGCTATTCTTTGGCCACGCTTTTGTCCACACCTTCTTCTTGCCTCCATTTGCCGCAGCCGCCTCTGCGTCTGCAGCTTCCTGTGCTTTCTTCTTGGCCTCCTCATCGTGCTCGTCGTCTTCGCCTGGCCGCGAGAAGCCAGACTTGGATATGTTTACGGATTCCATGGTGACGGTTGTGTATTTGTCTTCGTCGATGTACTCGTCTTCTTGGTTGATGGGTTCTGGTTCTTGGAACCCTGTGAATTCTTCATCTTCGGCGCCGTCTTTGGTCTCGTCATCGTCGCCGTCTGAGTCCGAGTCGGCGGAGCTGAGGTCGCCGTTTGCTTGCTTGACTAGCCGGTTTACTTCTTCGACGTGTTTTTCTAGGTCGGCTTTGCGCTCGGCTCGGAGCTATCGTACCATGTGTCAGTTGCTTGTTACATTGTATATGCTGAGGATGCTGGGTGCTACAAGTAGCTGCTCTTGCGCTTTCCCAAACCACCAAAAAAAGTCGAACACGTACTTCTCGCCTAAGCCTCAATTTCTCCTCCTTTTCGCGCTTCGCATTTTCCTCCTGGGCGTGTTTCTTTCGCTCGAGCTTGCGCTTGTGGAACCCGGTCAGGTACTCTTCGCGCGCCGCAAAGTCGAATTCAATTGTTTCGGGCGCGGTGACGGCGAGCTTGCGTTTCTTGTTGGGCGGGCCCATGATTGCGTCGAGGGGTACCAGAAATTAGCAGGACTTTGTGGAGACCAGGTTGCAGGACGTGTGGTGCTGGGATGGTGCTGTCGCGCTGGTATTGCGACAGGCGGAAAAGTGGTTGCGGAGTTTGCCAAAATTACCTGCATGGCAGGGATCTGGTAGTACTAGGCATTAGGTAGTCTGGGTGGAGCCGAGGCTGGTCCCTACCCTACCTTGATTTAGACCAAGACATCACTATTACCACCATCACGGTCGTGACAGGCTGGATAAAATTATTGTGATTAGATTATCTACATCAGTAGTCATGACTTTCGTTTCTCATTGATTGTGAGTATTGCGCTCAACGCAAAATAATAAGTCGAAGCTAGAAAGACATCAATCATGAACATAGAAGCTACAACGCCAGCCAGCCTGACTAGACA